CCGCTCTTTACTCGACTGCTTTCTTCCTAGTGGCGCAATCGCAGCAGTTTACCATTTTTATTTAGCTCGACTGCTTTCTTCCTGGTGGCGCAATCGCAGCAGTTAACCATTTTCATTTCTTGTTGTCTTGGAGACGGACATAATTCTCCCAAAAGCCCCATTTGCCTGGAGGTATTCACTTTTATTGCCTGCGAGGTGTTTTTTGAAGGAGCTTTGGTCGAGGATCTAGTTAAGGATACAGGATGAGGAGTGCATCGTATCTTCCTCACTGCAGATCTGCATCCAGTATCTTCTAAATGATTCTGAGAGAGTTATGAGAAAGTTCTGTGAAGTTCTGAGAAGAGGATTTCTGGCGATTTACCCGCATTCGTCATGGACGGAATAGGTAAAAAAGGAGCTGAGCGTGCCTGTGGTATCATACCTGCTGTTTCCAGGAACCCGCATGCGGGTAATTCAGGCGGGAAAATTAGGCCGTTGGCTCAGGCCCTCTCTAATCGTAGCTCGACGTCGTCGGTGATAGTACATAACGTTATGTTCTCCTTCTGACCGTGAAGTCAGTAATCAAGAGCTCGGGTTGATGAGATAACGAAGATTCGTCTGAGAAGACGAGGCAGGTTATTCGATTTGGGGAGTGCTTTCTCCAATGAACTTTCTCCTCCACTATATCGATTTTTTTTCTTCGTTTTTTTTCCTCGTTTTTTTTTCTTGCCCGCTGCCTATAATGAAGCATGTCAAAGGAAATAGGTATGGCGCGACGTCAGCCCGTTTTCTCCTTTCTTTTTTTCTATCAGCGAAACTATCATATCGTCCGTATCAGTAGTTTTCCCAGGTGTTGCAGCTTATTCCTGGTGAGCAGGCTAACGACGCCACAAATCCTGCCTCACTAGCATGCTCCTTCATCCGCAGCGAACATCAGTAAAGGCCCTTGTGATTATCGAAGAATATCTCAGGGATTTTGTACCCTGATCAGGGAAGTCCGCCAACTTACCATGGAGCTTTGAATGGAGATCTGGGTAGATCGATAGAATCTATAAGGTCATTTACAAATATAGATAGGAAAACTGCAACCTGCATTTCACGAGCAACGTATGAGCAGGTGAAGTTTGTAATGGTGCAGAAGGGTGGAGGCTTGGTGTTGAGCTGTGAAGCATAAGCGAGGAATCGCATACGTCGAATCAAGTCGTCGAACGTTTGAGCTTTCCACTGACCCACCACGTCTTGATTCGACTTATTTGACTCCTCGCTTATCCTTCCCAGCTCACCACCAAGCCTCCACCCTTGCACTATTACAAACTTTACCTGCTCATAAGTTGCTCGTGAAAAGGTTATAGTTTTGCTATCTATATTTGTAAATAACCTTATAGACTCTATCGATCCACCCAGGTCTCCACCCAAAGTTCCATGGTAAGTCGACTTCCCTGGTGAGACATTCGTCGTCCTGTGCGAAATGGTGACGAGGGAAGAAGCTCATATGATGCGCGCCATGAGCCATTTGACACTAGTCAGTTCTACTACATAACAAATCACTTCGGCTTCAACTTTCTTATCGAATAACATATTTACGCACGAATGAGTGACAATAAGCCAAGGAAAACATGAAAAGTGCAACAATGTAATGCAGCAGATCCTGGCACAAACAAGCAAGGAAAGAGATTTCATTCACTAATGTCCACAAATTACCTGCTGCTCTTCATGTTGAACAACTCATTATCGTTACACTGAGATGTCCTGGTACTAAGACTCAGGAATAGTCAGGGCACATAGTTTTCGTGGAAATCACAACGAGAAAGGTCGTATTTTACTGCCAGGTAAGGAGGGTACTATTGTAAGTGCAGAGGTTACTCAGCACTGAAGAATGATTAATGGAAAGACACTGAAGTTCCGGACATTTCCTTAGGACTCTAGCACATATTTCTCGCAAGGGCAAATATTGCACAGAAGTTGTACCTTGCCATCACCCTTGAGTGGATGTTGAGTGCATGGCGCAATGGACAAGTGCGATCAGTCGGCGCCTGAACCATTTTCTACACTCAGGCGAAACCATGTGTTCTAAAAACATACATGATTATTTAGACGAACTGAAAATGCTATGGTGGCCAGAGCAGCGAGTTTCACGAGTGGCTCAGAATTTCTCAGAACAATTACACAACGGGTAAATCTTGAACCACCGATCCTACAGAGAAATGAAAGCGATTGTTTGAAAAAAGGATAGCGTGAAAACTCGTGACGCCAAATTTTCGACTCCAAGGAATGGTTTTACAGCGAAGAAATTTTTGAAACTCAATGTTAGGAGGCGGAGGTGGTGTAGTGACAAGGGGCGCGCTCACCACTCGCGCGGTCCTGGGTTCGAATCCCAGGTCGACACCCGCCCAGGCCAACACGCCTCCTATCCTTCGGGGCGGTAAATTGGTACCAGATTCGTCTGGTAGGATAATAACACTGACTTGTACATCGGCTGGCCGCCGCAAGTCATTGTATAGGCCACATCGCATTCAGTAAGCCACTACGATTCTGTATGGAAGTAGAATGCGTGCCGCATACCAAAAGGGATTGATTAACGGCGAAGACTTTATCCTTTATCCTTTAAGAATGTTAGAATAAATTCGGCACATTCTTGAAAGAGTAGCCAAATGATTTCCAAACCTGCTTTCCTTTTCCTACATGCGCTATTTCGAGCAAATCTGTGGTCATTCAAGAAAGGTACTCACGCAATCCCTCGCCTATTCCGAAGAGTTTCCCAAATTAACGCGCTCCAGTGCAACGGTTGATGCGCGTGAATCGCGCGCAAGTTTTCATATTAGATTCTTCTTTATTACGGTGTTCCGCAAAGATACTGCCAGTGCAGCCGTAACTTCACGGCTGGTTTTACTACGGATTTCCTTTCTGTCAGATGCATTTTGGATTGTGCGCCTGCTTTAAGGTGCGTGACGAAGGACAAGCTCTACTCATCTGCCCCTCATTAGTCGAACACTTGTTATTCACTGAAGGATTTTACTCGTACTCTTGTCGGGGAGGGACGCGAATCTCAAGAACACTTGTCAATTGTAATCCAGTGAAGAGTTAGAATCACAAGTGATCTCCGACTACTGAAAAGACTTGCGAGTAGGAAACGCAAGGTTTCCTGGTGCATGATTCAGTCACATGCATGGAAGACGGTTCAGATACCGAAAACTGAGCGCAGATGGCTACCCCCGTATTGGATTTCGTACCCTGACCGATCGGGGGAAGGGGCGAGGGGGAGAGGGTTATACTAACGCGGTTTTTTGCGCTTCGCATTCTAAAAACGGACTAATCATCGGCGAAAGGGGGTCGCTTTTTATCCCGTTTGTCTATTTATAATTTCTTTTTCGGTTTCTGTGTGATATTCGCGTATTAGGAGTATTTTGTGCCCGGAAGAAATTACGCTTTTGTAACTTCCGTTTCGTTATAAACTCGGACAACTACTGAAAACATTGTTTCAAATTGTGTACGTCACAACTCTTTCGCTGTTTACGTAAATAAAATTAGCGCGAAGGATAGTTCGGCCAAATACGCCTATTAGAAAGGAAAGCTAGTCCTTAGGGACAAACCCCGCAATTTTATATTGTGTATAGTGGCGTTCAACTACAGAGCTACACTTGCTGAATGACTCTCCAGGGAACAAAAAAGCAAAGAAAAATTCCTGGGGAACACCCAGCCCAATGAACTAGTAGCCTCTCTCGACAAGTTCTCCGAATCTGCTCGTGTTATGCCAGCAAAGCGCTATTCTACCGCCTCTGGCTCACTAATAGTTTCTTCGCGTCATCGAATGCTAATACTGCTTGAAAGTGGAAAAAAACCAGTAAATGCAATGTAAAACGGAACTCGTGACCGAAAATAATCCTTTGAGTTTCGGTGGGCGGGACAACTAGGGAGGAGTGAGAACTGCCACTTATGAGGAACTAGTTCTATAAGAAAGGACGCCCACGACTTAAAGGCAGTTGGCACGATAGTTTCCTACTTAGCCCAAAATGCTAGTAGGGCGCTGTATAGTGGGGAAATGGCGAAAGAACGGAGTGAAACGGTCAAAATACTACGAAGAAAAAGCCTTCGTTCTCACTGACTTGAAAATCGATTTCGGCCGAGTTTCCCATAGGCATCTTGCCAATCACCGCTACCGAAGATACGGCTACATATGTGTACTCTTATATCCATGCAGCATAACGGCCGCTTGCCAATCCCTTCGTTTCATAATTCACATAGGAAATCAGTCGATTAGAGTCAGGAAAGCTCGTCCATTTGTGGGCGGGCGGGCGTTTGGGTCGGAATGTTGTGGCTTGATGGGGTCTTTATAAGGGCACCTTTCTTGGAAAAGGCATTATGCTGCGCCTGCTCAGGGTCGCGGAATTCCGTGTTACTAGGCGTATTAATCCTACTCGTCTTTTGGGATTTATTGTGCCAACTGCCTTTAGGCGCTAGGATTGCCTTTGAAGCAGCGATGTATTCCATGCCCTTCGGCAGATGACCCGCTCGAAAAGAGTTCGCTGCAGAACTGCGCGTTTGCCTACCGATGGCTCCTGCACCCGCAAATGACTACAGCAGTCTTCCTTCTGGCCATTGTGGCAAGGATGCTGGGCACGGCGTTCACGCTGCCCAAGTTACTCGGTGGAAAGCAACTCATAAAAACTCGTTTACATTCAGGACCAATAGGCGGAATGAGTGTCCATCCTTAGAGCCGTCGACTGTCCCTTTCAGTTTATTCTTTTTTGCCGCTCCACTTAGCACCTCTAGTTTCATCTTCGACCAGTGAGCAAATTAGCGTACTCTTCGAGCAGTATGCAAATTAGCTTCCCACTGTTCTTGATGAGAAGATTTCTTTTGTGAACGACGCGATTATTCTTCCAAACTCATGTTTTTTAATTACGCAAATTGTTTTTTTTTTGAATCTCGCTAATCACTTAGCTAGATGTTTCGTGAAAAATGATTATATTGGCGCAACAATGTGCTGCAATTATTCGTGTCCCAGTAACAATAGCATTTTTATGAATAATTTTTTCTCAGAAGCTCCGGAAGCTCTAATTGATCTCTTGATGAACGCACAAGGACGACGAATGGATGAGCAAAGAGCGACACTGCTGCCTGGTTTGAATAGCCAAGAACAAGCTCATGAACTTATCGAAAAACTCGGGTTAGTTCGTTGGAGTTTTCGCTAGTAATTCTTGGGCATTGAAATCACAGTCTGGTTCGCTACGGATGAAGGGGTGGACCAGGTGGGATGGGTTTGGCGCGGCGCCAGACCGGTTTTTCGACACTTATTGGAGCGAGCAAGCGTCAAGACTGCATCATGCAGTTCGTTTTAGTCTTTTTACACCAATATTCTTGATTATCCGGTTCAGCAGTTGGTGTAGAACAGGTTTGCAGCTAGCCCAAACCCATTCCGCCTGCCACGCCCCTTCATCCTCGGTGAACATGGCTGTACACTCTAATGAATGGTGCCTTCATGCCCTTGTTGATTCGCTTCGAAGGCACACCGCAGGTTTGAAAATGTTGGGTTGTGCTGCTCGGATCAAAACGGTAAATAACCCGAAATGAAAAAAAAGCAGAAAAACACCTGAAATACCCCATAAAGCGCTCCATGCTGAACCGCTTTTGTATGTGCAGAAGGCGAAGGGGGCGTGGTGGGGCGAGTTTAACCTCACTCTGACCATTCATAAGCGAGAGGATTGGTAGCGGATCAACCGCACCACTAGGAACGCTTCATACATGAAGGTTGGGTGTTGCGTTGGACAGTGGGCGGTGCGTCGCCTTCGTTTTGAAAGGGTCGCGCTCAATTCGGCACATTTGAGCTGCGAAAGGGGTTCAGTCTTCATGCTTGTTCACAGGACTTCGCTATATTATCGGATATTCAATCAATTCACAACAATAATTAGCTGCGTTGTAAAAATTTTAATTCTTCTCGAACCAATTATCGCTGTGATTTAGTTCGGCAGCCGGCGAAGGCAGTGATTCGCGGATTGATGATACTCTTATCGACTTACTAATGCGTGCGCAAAGTCAAAGGATGAATGAGCAACGTTCGGAGCTTGCAAGTGATCGAAAGGATTCCGTAGATGCTGGTACGTTTCTGTAAACGTTACTTTTTTGGCCAAATTACTAGATAGTAAGGATCTAATACTTGTAGATTCTGCTGCAGTGACTACACCAGAAGACGATGTATCGGCGCTAGTGATGCGCATGCAAGCAGGGCGATTTGAAGAACAGCGTGCTCATCTTAGAACAGATAATGATGACTGAAAACGGTTTAGGACTCAATTTCGGGCTCTAAAAATGATATCGATTTTTTTGTCTGGTACGGTACTATTGGAATTCGTTTCAGATAGGGTGTATTCATACCTTGCGGCTTCCTACATGATCTCTGTGAGCTTACTATTACTGAATGCGATAATGGTGTTATCATCCGTTATTTCTTTGTCATTGACCTTTTAGGTCAACATGTTGTTTGTTTTCAATAGGCGCCCTGTTCTGGGTGCTAAGGTGGTTGAGCTGGGCGGCGCGGCTGCGCCTCTTCGTCTCTTTCCCTACCCAAGGCTTTGTCTATAGCGCAGACGATTAGAGTCGCCGCGGTTACCCTCGCAAAGCAGACAGTCTGCCACTCTGACCGTCTGCGCTCTAAGCCTAAGCCTTAGTTAGGAGAAGAGATGCGGATGCGCTGCCGCGTAGCTCAGCTGAACCACGCTAGGACCCTATTCTAAAGTACTACCACAGCTCAATTCCTGCCGTGAGAATTGGATGGTCTCTGGATTCCTGGGATATCTGCCCACGAGGCCTGGTCGCTCTGCACTCTGTCGTGTTGTCTGCTGTCCCTTGAAGATACGCTATCCCTGCTAGGAGGCGCTAGAGCGCAGGAAGGTGAGCAGTGTATCCCACAGCGTAGCACCACCAGTTCGCGCAGCATTCTGAATTTTTTGTGGTATGAAGCTAGGTGGCTGATAATTCCTTACTGGAGCCGTCGCAAGTGAACGGATCCGTAAGTACAGTAACCCTTTCGGGTGCTGCAAAAAGTCACCCTACACGTGCTGGTTTTGGGCACAGGGGCGTTTTGGGTTATGAGAGCTTTGGTCGAAATATGAATACATTACTCACGCCGTTCGTCTCGATTTATATCCGTTAGCGTTTATTTGGGCATGAGGGCGGGGGGGGGGGACGCTACTGCCAACGTCATTGGTGGAAGGGCTGCGAGAGGGCGTTGGGCACACTTTACTCTTCTCTTCCAGAGACACTGGCAGCCAGCCTTAAGCCATTGTGCCCACTGCGTTCATGATTACTGCTCCATTCCTTTACCAGTACGAGCTTAGAGTACAAATGAGGGCTTCCAAAATGTGGACTACCGGCAGAAAACGAGTTGTATGCTCTTTCGACAGAAGAGGACATATTAAACGAGACAAGACACATTTGGGATGGTATGGACGAGGAGCGTTCACGCCCACCACTCACTGATTGGCGTCGCAGCGTAGAAAGTGTGTCTCTGCCTGCACCTTCTCAGCGAGAGGAAATCTAGTTCGCAGATGACTTTTAACCCGGTGTTCAAAGGCGAACGGCTTGCTATGTTGCAAGCTTCTTACAGTCTGGTTCGCTGCGGATGATGGGGCGTGTCCGCGCGCGTAGGGCGCGCTGCTAAACCTGCACCGCCGACCCCTCGCCGCGCCCGGAAGACGAGGCGCTTGCACGCCCCATCATCCGCAGCGAACGAGGCTATAGTGCGGATAACAATTTGATGTTACAGTAATAAACAGAGCTCCAAATTTTTCATCAACAGTGAGCATGACGTTGGCCGCTTTGTATAAATGCATCGTCTATTTTCTCCAATTTGAAGGTTCACTGAACAAATCCTGATGAATCGCATTATGCGAAATGATGTTCTCATTTGCTCGCTATTTCGCATGTTGTAATTTACCCTTATGTCCTTCGTAAAGGCTTTCTTGTGCTAGTGTGTACTCATGCATGAAATCAGGTCTGACATTCATATTATGGGCAAATTTGATAAGATCATTGCGATATCGGTCTAAATATTGTATTTTGGAGGCTGTGTTCGTGTCATTATTATTATAATATGATTATCTTGATGGTTTTGACTTATATCTGCATCAGTTTATCTATACAGAAATAAATTTTGTATGCGCCGTAAATATTGTGTGTTGTTGTGTTACTGTTCCAGGTTCAGTTCTGGCGTGATTACCTGAGTTACACGAAACTAACTGTTCTGTAGCTTTCCTTACTTGTTGAGCTGGCGGAGAAGTTCATGCAGTTTTATTGTCACAGCAATGACTTTTTTACATGTTGGTCATTCGTGGGTGTGGATAATTACATCTCAGTTGCGGCAAAAGCGAGCGAATAGGCCTAGGAGAGGGGTGATGTACGCAGCATTCCAACTAGGACCCAACCCACTCAACGTAGCAGTGCTGCGGCGCGTCGACTCTTTCTGCGCCTGCGTCTCGTTACGTGACATCTTGACTTTTGTGCGTGGTCCTGTTGCGAAACCCTGCGGCGCAGACGGATAGAGGGCAGTGGTTGCCAAAGCATCGAAACGTGCAAAAAACGTATGGCGAGCCAGGAAAGAAATTTTTCAAGGGGAGGGGAGGGGTGAGCTACTTATAGTCGGGAAAAGCGGGAGTGAGCGAAGTCACAACGGCCATAGAGTGCCATGCGGACGAGATGTGCGGAGAAAAAGAGAAGATCGACGTGCTAAAAGGGGGTGAGTTCAAGTTGTCCGTAGACCAGTCGACTAGCTCTCTCTGTGCCTGTGTACTCAGCTAGCTAGAGAATACTTCGCTAGCGTTTGCGATGCTGCTACTCGGAAGTAATGACCCATACCCGATCGTATAGTGAGTGAGTCGAAGGGTGAATATATAGCGCCGGATCCAGCAAGGCCTTGTTTTTAGAACCTTCCGCAGCTGTGTAGTGTATAAGTTACAAAATTATATGGTGCTAACGGAGCGGGGCCAAGCCGCGTTACGCCTGCTGACCCTGCGAGGTTACAAGACATCTCTCGACCGGATGATCTCTCGCTGCGAGGGTCCAGAGGTGCTTTCCCATGGCATCTTCTATTCGAGCATTTAGAGGAAAATAAGAGAGAGGGATGAGAGAAGGAAGGAAGAAGAAAGAAGGAGGAAGGCCTCGCGGTTGACAGATATCCTGAGAACGCTCTTCTGCGGAACTAGGCCACGCGTGACTCTAGTCGCCTGCGCTCTGTTATCCTTTCTCCGCAGCTCAGTCTCAGGGAAGCCAACATAGCAATGAGCTTATGTAGGGATCCTGGCGCTAACGGAGTTGGAAGAGAGACGTAGGAGAAACAATCCAGGGCGTCCGTTTAACCTTCCGTAGTCAGGGCTTAGACTTAGTGGATACTATGTTTCGTTTGCGGGACTTTAACTCGGCTGTTCTTTTAGGGTGGCCTGCGCCCGGGGCCCCAGCCTTTCTAGGAAGATATACAGCTGCGTGGTCGAGTGGTCCCTCCCCCCAACTGCGTTAACTCCACAATCCATATTCCGGGTCACAATCGTTTCTTCGCACCTGCCAGCACTGAATTCCTCACATCAGCCGTGTTACGATTTGAGTGCGCGGCATAGTCTCGCGATATGCGGCGCTGTCGCGTGACCGTGCTAAGCTGTTTTAGCGCCGATAATTTCTGTCGATAAAAACAACAACGTGGTTGTTTTGTGTCGCTGCTAGTTCTACTGCAAAAGCTCAACAGTAAAGAAGTTAAAAAATTGAACACGCAGTAACTTTTCCGCCAATCCATCAAGAATAGACAAGTAAAATAGGATATCCTTTTCTTAAGAAGGAACGAGTGCGTCGGTAATGAATGTGGAAGACGTGGTTCAAGCCATATGTGCCGTCTATGATCCTTCAACGTCGAATCCGGATCGTATGAAGTGTACGCAGGTTGGGGTTATTTGTCAATATTGTGGCAGATTTGCAAGGGGGTCGTGTAATTTGGACCACCTTTTTTCAAGTGTACTTAAAAATACGTGGTTGTACTGGTCCTGTTGGCACGGGAAAGAGTTTTATGAAGCTAGCACGCCGTGCGATATTTCTATTTACCGAATCCTGGTCGATCGTGCTCTTGCCGTATGCGCTCTGCCGAGCTCGAACTTCGAGATTGGAAGGAAGACAGAAGATCAGCCGCGGCGCTCCCTTACCTACCCTCCTTCTCACGAACTAGCGCGATCACTAATTCAGAACAAATTCTTGTGAACCAATCTGTCGTGCTAGTAAAAAAAGCATAGTTCTCAGAATCCGCGATCACAGGATTAGCAGAGGAGCACGTCAGTCATTATGCACGTTCGTTTATACCTAGAGGACGGACTAGTGATTTGTCCGATCAGGAGTTTGATTGAGCGCATCCAAGCCGCTCCGAGACCAGCGAAAGGGGCCTTACGAGCAGGTCAACTTGCATCGTCCATTGAACGTGGTAGTACTGCAGCGCGTCGAGTCGTCTAGCTAAGATTCAATCTGCTAGTTTTGATTTGAGCTGCGCCTTGAGCGTCACGCGACGCACCACGTCCGATTGTCGCGATGATCAGCCCACCGAACGGGGTGTTTCACACACCCACGCTTGTTTCTTTGATATCGCTCACGTGGGAGTGTGGTTGTAGGATGAACTTCTTTCATTCAAATGCTGAAAAGACTATGCGGATCGGGTTGGTATTGAGTTTTATACCCTCTCCGCACCTTGTCAAGTGTGAGTCCAGGATGCGAAGCAGCCCTAACAAGATAACGTACAAGGCCCACGTTTTTTGCTATCTAGCACGGTTGATTTGAAAGTTGTACGCTATCATGGACTATGATAGATTTACTGCTTCCAAGGAACTGCTGATGCCACTTCTAACTTCTGCTCAGCTCGCCGCGCCCTTTTCAGATTCACGCCCGGAGATTGTCGTGTCGTGCCTTTTATATCTCAGATAAGGTTTTAAGCATCGTTGTGTGCTGAAGTTTCATCATTTAAATCATGAATTTTCTCATTTTTTTAATAAAGATACCTGTTCCGAAACTCCGAATGGCGATGTATCGAGCTCTCCATCGGCAGACGGACAGCACAGGCGTAATTAGTCGCGTCATCGCGCGAGCGTATCGTGCAGCGTGACGAATTCTCGGTGCGCATCGGTTTTTTTTATTGGAGCAACGAAAATAATTTGAATTCAGGCTCAGTAAGACTTCATGTTACACATATCGCACCTCCTCATCCATTTAGCACTTAAACTGAAACGACCAAGCGTCTGTCGGGCGTCGCTCGCCGCGTGCATCGACGCGTCATATTACGATTGCCTTGTCATAGGCTAATGCCGTTTGGACTCCAGCAACTTCGGCACCGAGCTCATTTTTAAATTACCTAAGTCGCCAAACCCGCTGAAAATATGTACACAAGGGTTATTTACCATCCTGATTACAGTTATGACACTCATTCTTGGCGCTCGCGCCAAGGGATGACACTATGATTACCTCTTGGGCTCAGCCTTAGCGGAGCGCAGGTAATCGTAGTGTCATCCACTAGCGCCAGCGGCAAGAGTGAATGTCATATTCGTAATCAGGATGTTAAACTACCCCTACATACAAGTTTTTAGCGGATTTGGTTACTTAGGCAATTTAAAAATGAGCTCGTGCCGAAGTTGCTGGAGTCCAAACGGCATTAGCCCTTGTCATATACCTTACCAAAAAACAACAGAGTAACAGCCATGTGATATGTACAAATCAGGGATCTTAAATAAAGGTAAAGAAAGGGGATTTTGATTTACATGGAGAATGTTCCCTAACATTCTGAAAGTCCTGAACTTGAAACTGCTCAGATACCTTTGTCTGTAAAATAATGCGCTCTGCTTCGCTCCCTCAAACGAACTTGAAAATGAGCGAAAATTATGGCGAAATGTGATCTTTACCACATTTTCTAGGTGATCGAGAATTTCAAGGATGGGCCACCGGAAATAGTGGCAAACACGGCGTTTGAACTAATCACGCGAAATTCGTCTATTCTTCGTCATACGGGTTGGACCTTATTAGAAGATCTCATCAGGTGAGCCTAGAAGTAACGTTCACATAACGGCTGCGAGGATTTCTAACCAATAAAAGTTCCTATTTCTGTCGTTCATTCAGGTACAAATGGAATTCCATACCTCCAGAGCTTTGTTTGGCACTGCGTAGTAGAATATGTGAAGCCATTGATACTTTGATGCAAGAGGTAATGCTCCACGTATCCAGGTAACCTACAGGGTTTCAAGTACTGAACGTAAAATTTTCAAGGAAAACGTTGAATCAAGTGCGAGATGTGTAGTGGCAATGATGGAGCATGAATGGCCTCAGAACTGGCCTGAACTCACTTCACAACTTCAACAAATGTGTTCTCGAAGTTGGTGGTTTGCTTCGCTTTCTTCGCTTATACCTGAACTTTTTTCTTTTAGCCCACTCAAAGACACATTTTCTGTCTACCCTTGAGAGAGGGTGTTCTCCTTGTAAAGGTAAGGCAGCGTTCATACTTCGCGACGCGCGCGTTTGACGCGATCGTCGCGGTCGAAAGCATGCGCGTCGATCGCGTCGAGTGCTCGACCGAAGCACTGCCGTCGCCAAGTATGAACGCTGCCTAAGCATGTCTGCAGTCTCGGAGCTTGTCCTACTCTCGCGGCTCCACAGAGTGATGAGGCCATCATAAGACGAAGATATGCAGCTCGTAGGTGCCTTGGCCATCTGGGGACAGGGTATGCTAGTAGTCCTATGCTGGAAAATACAGGGTTTTTGTGTTTCTGGCTCGTCTTCCTCGTCTTCATCCCATGTTTCTGGTCTCTCGTCGACGCAGCAGCATCTCTCCTCTTGGAATATTCGCTAAATCTCACAAATACTGATTAGGAATACATCTTCACTTGTCCTAGTAATAGGAGTAATAAATGTGGATCACCTCTTCAGTTCACAGCAGGACTCGAAGGTAACTTGGTCCTTGAACCATCAGCTTCTTTTACATCTTCTTTCTTATCTTTCTTACATTCGTTGGCAGTTATGGGCGGCGCTGAGGAAGAAAATTCGTCAAACGACTCCAGAGCACTCTAAAGCTCACGGCGCGGCAGCTGAAATGTAGAGACACACCCGCGCTGGGCGGGGCGTGCACCGGATGGGCATAGCCTGCTGCAAAAATCCATATCGCTGCTTAAATACGGTAAAAAAACTATATGAGACAAATTTATCTTGACTAAGCCTGAAGGGTTCGTGTTGTGCCACAACTCAACTCCAGTGAGCGGGGTCTGCTCTCAAGGAGCTGCCTATTTCGGGAATTATGGCTCGATTCCGGAGCGCTTCAGAGTTAGAGTCGAAATTTCGCGAATTGCTCCCAAAGCAGTCCGAAGATCGAAAAATGAGCAAAGGTTCTTTAAGGGGAGAGTTGTCCTCTTTTGAGCGCGATTAACATCCGAAACTTACAGTCTGGTAAAGCAGGTTGCTATGATACACCATAAGGTGGACAAGAAAGTTCTACACAGAATAGTATGAGAAGGGGAATGTTCTCAGTGTAAGCTTTTGAAGTCCTGGACCCTCGCAGCTAGAACGTGGGAATCTTCTGCAGCAGCTTTATCATTCGAAGGAGATGTCTGTTATACAGACGGGTGCTATTTTAGCAGTATTTCTGTTTCTGATATGTTTTGGCGCATTTGCCCTCTTTATTGTTCTGTTTTGTTGAAGGTTTTGTTAGAGCAATACCAGTAATTTTCCAGGTTTCTTACATTGTGCCATTACATTTGCAATTCAACGACGTCTAGTAGAGAATGTGGCTACCTTGGCATCAGTTTCCAACATGCGTCGTCGCAGGGACATGAACAGCGCAATGGTTAGTGCCATTTGTGAAAGTTTACTTCTAGGAACAATGTTTGTTCGTTGAAGGGTTTACTGGGTTCTTATCGTGAGTTTCATGATCTAGGTTGAGTCTGTGGACGAGTTCCTTATTATAGCGCTGGATAAGCTCGACTCTTGCCCGTTAGGTAAGTTTTCCCTATTACTGCTGCTGTTTGTTGATTGTGTTTGTACATTTCTAGATCGGACAAATACTGCTACTTTACTTGCCGCGAGGAATATTTTTGGATGGCTTATTGAAGTGTGTAGCTGCGTAACTTCGAACTCTATGGAAAATCGGTTTATACGCATTGTTGACACTGTGATTCGTTACCTGAGTACTGCGGAAGGAAATATCTACGAACTGGCCGCACAATGCTTGGCAACCCTTTCTGCCCGTAGACGGTAACTATTAATTAGTTACAGTCATTTTGATACATTTTTTCATATTTTGCTCAATTCGAGCTAGGCTATGTTTGAAGGTTAACAATTTTCAACATTACGAGTGTTTTACTGCATTATTTTTCACCTATTTTTGACTAGTGTTTTTCATAACACTTGTGCTCTGTAAATGATGACCGCATCTGTCATCAAGTTAGGCTGTTTCGGATGTACAAAAAGGCGAAAAAAGCGAAAAGTATTTTTATTAAGTTTGTTCTGCAAAAACCGCCGTTGCAACCGCGCGCGAGCATCACCGTTATCCATTCTTGGGATATGGAGTGTACCTGATGCAGGTAATATTTCTGTTGCAGAGAGAAAAACGACCAATCGATAGTAATTTCGGCCTTCTTCCGGCAGGAAGTGTTTTCAGCCATTCTCACTGTAACAAGGTAATCATGTTTGTCAGAGTATTATTCAGTTTTTAATCTCAGTGTCTCTTTCTTTTCAAGCCTTGCTGCAGACAACTCGCACTTCAGCGAACAACATTATCGTTTTCTCAAGTCCCTTTGTGAAGTGCTGACTACTTTGGGAAGCAAGTTTCATTTTCGTTTGTGTTAGCATATGTTTCCGAAACTCGTTCTTTGTGTGGTTGCAGAGCATTTTATCCCTCGTTATCGTGAGTTTTTAGAATTCAGGATATCGAGGGCTCTTAAAGGCATGTGTACTCAACTAGGACCATCCTTGCCGTATACGAGATGGCTGAGTCCGCAGCTCAGTAGCGTGCCGCTCAAAATTGACACTTTTATCGCTCAAACATGTACGAGAAAGCGGATGGCCCTAGCCATATCCTGGTGCCGTCTTTCTTCCGCTCACGCTATGCTCAATGCGTAGCACTTTCGTCGATACCAGATCTCGCGGCGAACAAGCATTCCGTGGTAGAGAACAAGTAGAAGTGAGAGGGTGCGGACAAGTAGCGCGTTTGGCTATGGCTAGGCGCGTGGTTGGCTGTGCTGCAACGCGGGCAATGCCCCAAATGACATCTAGCTATCGATCTTACCTCCAGCCCACTTCCCATGCACTCTTAAGCCGAAAAGTGGCACGCTTCTGCATCTGCGCACACGCTGTGAGCGTCTGTTCCTAGCACTAGTTCCGATCTTTAGACCTTAAGTTTTTCCTCTAGCAGAGCAAAGTTCATGCTGTACTAGTCTCCTTTTTAGATTTTCTGTCGAAAGTATGGACAGAAAAACACCCACCAGCAAACTTTGGAACGTACATTTCGGCCATTGTCGCGTTCTTCAATCATGAGTCATTGGTAGGACCTGTGCAACTTACAGTGAACATTTGCTTTTGAGGCTTCCGTGTATTTATTAACTAATGTAAACTTTTCAGTATTTGCGACATGAAGCTTGTGATGTTCTTGTGGCGCTCTCCAATCATGCCTCATTCCGTGACGACGAGCATTTAATACAGGCGTTACGCTCCGTCTTTTCAAATTTTCTCCGGGCATTCACAAAGGTTGTACTCCTCTCCTTATTCACGTTCGTTTAGATTCCAAGCTGAACTGTACCGTATATTCTTTCAGCATGGATACCCATCGCAATGTCCACCCACAACGGCAAGCCATTATTCTCAGATGGACTTCGAAGACGATCTGGAATGGCATAACTTCTTCATACGTTAGTGTTTTTCATGATGTTTATTTTGGCTACATCGCAGTGTTCATTATGCACATTTTGACTACATCGCTGTGTTCATTATGCACAGTTATAATAATGCGTAAACTCCTCACAACCGCTCCTTGTTATTCAATTCTTACGTTTAAGCAGCGTTCAGACCTTGCGATGACGCGCGTCGACGCGCTCCAGCGCGCCATGGCGCGCGTCGACGAACTACATCTGCATCAGCGTTCTAATGTTATAGATGCGAACGCAGCCGTGGAAGGTCGGAACTGGCTGTTTCCCATCTGCGAACGCTCGACCGATAGGCACCGGCCACTTGTGTTTCGAGAGAGTAAGAGGACAAGATGGCGTTGACGCAGGCACGTTGCAGCGCATTTCAACGCGTCGACGCGCTTCATCACAAAGTCTGAGTGCTGCCTTGCAATTTCTATTGGGTGGTTTTCCGGCATAAGTGGAAACCTATAAATAGAGTGGTTGTTTTCAGTACTTTGCGATTGAAAGTGGTCAAGTACTAGCTTACAGGTTTCCGCTCTCGTCTGCAGGTACTCATAGCAGACAATCTCCGAAAACATTTTGACTACCTACTTTCTGTTTGCGAAAAGGATGTGTTCCAGAGGATATTATCCGATCCTCATGGAGGTTAAGCCTTTGAAAGCGTCTTTCCAGGAATTTAAACCCCACTGTTTTCACATTTGTTCTTCAGTAAAAGAAGTGGAGTGGGATGGAATGCAGAAGTTCGTTCGAAGTGTTATCCAGGTTGCCTACGAAAAGAAAATCGTTGATAAGGTAATTATGATAAGGCGTTTAGAATTCGAATGCGGCGAACTGCCTTAGAGAGTACTGAGTTATTTAGAAGCACGAATATTTGATTGCGATACGCAATGCTTTGGTGACACAAATGGCAAACATGACCGATTGCGATGTGCTAAGTGAGGTAAGATTTCACTGTTACAAGTTGTCGTAAAAGTTCCCTTCCAGTTTCAGACTTCTTTTGGGATACTTTTTTCTTTCACAGTGCCATTACAGTACAGGAAAGAAAATTTGGAACTACATAATCACAAAATGACTCCTCCAACAAGTCATAGAATCAAAGATTCCCTATCGTTATGACGTCCTCTGATCGCAACATCTCAGATTGCGTTCATACTTTGCGTAAGAAGGCCCTCAGACTTCGCGATCGCGCGACCATGACTGGCGGCGCTTCATCATCAAGCGCTGCGCCGCCGCAAGGGCAGAATTCAAATTGGGCAGCAGTCACTCAGTGCCAATTCGAATTGTGTCGATCGGCGGCGCACCGTTTAGTGGTGGAGCACTTCGGTCGTGGTCGTGCGATCCAGTCGAGCTCCAGTTGCGCGATCGCGGGGTCTGAACACTGTCCAAGATTGTGAGCATTTTGTGCGTATACTGGCATAAGCTCAAGAGCTCGATACCTATACTTTCCTAGTCGCTTAAAGCGCTCAGAATGCTTGTGTACGCTTAAAACGCTGACGCTAGTATAAACGCACCAGAGATGCAGCCGATGAACAATATGTACTATTGTGCTTCCAATGAATTTTTCAGCTATTGTCTCTTCATTCACCCTTTCTGTTGAGCTATGGCGAGGATTTCGACAGTTTCGCCAACTATTTTTCACTACTTAGAAAGTAAGGGTATTGTGTAGTCCAACTATACCGAAAGACTGTTTCTGAAATGATTATTCTAGGGCGTTGATCATGTCAGCTGGCAATAAAACACTAAATAGACATGTTATAAGTCTCATTCTTCGTGCTGTTCAGTGTTTTCCGACTTATTTTAAGGTATGTTCTTCATTTCAAGACCACTTTCACAGGAGATATCAGAACTAGGGCAGTCATAATAGTGCGGATCACTCAGTAGAACTTGCATTACAACGCGGCCCTGATGCGGCCTGGTCTGTAGGCGAATACGATGCGGAGATTGCTTGTTACTCAATGTCTCCTGGGCTTTAATGATTTTAAACCACCATACCAGGGGTATATGAACGATAAGGCTGCATTCATACTTTGCGGAAGAGTCCAGCGTCTACCGCCGTCCACAAGCGTTGCAAGCGTCTGCCAGCGTGTCGAGGGCTAGGGAAGTATATGTATCGATCTGGCGTCTGCTGTCGTCTGTCAGCGTCCACCAGCGTTCATCAGTGAGCGGGAGTAGAGAGTATGGGGAAGTAGGAGGGGAGGGAACAGCTGGATTGGGCGTCGTGGAATTGCGGCAACCGCTCCGTACAAATACATACACTGTAGAGTAAATTGCCTAATTCTGTGCTTTAGCAGTTGTGTGGTGTGGTTGCACACGCCGTGATTTCACGAAGTCTAATCCAGCTGTTTGCTACCCTCCTCATTCCTCATGTTCTCTGCCCTCGGTCGCTGATGAACGCTACAGACGCTAGATCGATATCTTTACCTTCCTTGTCGCTTGCGCTGCTGGATGCTCTTGACGCTCGTGGACGCTGGTAGACGCTGCCGCAAAGCATGAACGCTGCCTAACCTTTCAAGGTTCTACTGCGGGGTTACAAGCCGTACGTTCCATTTCAGGGTCATGTGACAGACGTTTTAGCACTCTATGCTGACGTAGACGGTGTCATTTCGAAAATGCAAATGGCTCAGTTGCTGCAGGTAACATGCATGAACTGACAAGGGAGGTATTTCTCACGTCTTGCTGCGATTGCATTTAGTAGGAGTTCATACGTGGGACATAAAAGTGAAGTTGGTTTCCATTTCCAGGAAACCCGAGCCAGTGAGTGAAAAAGCTTCCTTAGAAAGGAAATTTCATACCGCATTATCCCATCGTGGGGCCCCTTGAGGCACTGAGTATTCCTAGTTCAAATGTTGTCCATCATGATGTACAGAATTTGAGGTGGAGGTGGTGTAGTGGCAGTGGCACGCTCACCACACGCACGGTCCGGGGATCAAATCCCGGATCGTCCCCCACCAGGCTAGGCTAGTCCGAATCTGGTATCAATTTACCGTCCTCGGAATTCTACCCGACGAGGACGGTAAAGTGAAATCAGATTCACCTGAAAGGATAGGAATACTTATACATCGGCTCTTCCCACTCTTCGAGTGGTGTTGTGATAACGAAGTGGACTTTCGTTAGTGGCTGGAATAAGATGATGGTTCGGAGCCGCCTGCAACCTTTTTGTACACTTTTGTTTTGTTTATAGCTTCGCCAACGAAAAAATGGGAATGCTAGAAAAGCAAATAGTGTAACCGTGGTAAAAAATTATCTTCACTTTTAGTCCATGCGATTACTCCTGCTTCATGCAGAACTCTGTTTTGAAAAGCGCTTCTCGACCTGAAACACCTCCTGTTGAGCTTGTGGACAACATAGTTATCCTCACTTTTTTCAGGTTTCGGCTGTTCTTTCTGATATGGTTGACGATGAATCGGTACAATTGAAGTTGTTACAAATAGCAGTCAATTCATCTGTTGAGCATATTCGTAGTATACAATGGTCGGTCACGATTTGAATATTTCTGAGTTTAAATGTATAAAATTGGCTCCAAACTTTTGTTGCAAAAGGGTTTAAGCCAAGAAGTACGAATCCGTCTTAATCATCTTATCGGACCAACTTATTACTCTCTACAGTCTTGTGCGCTGCGGGTAATGAGGGTGTCTAGGTGGATGGGTTTGTTGGGGCGCTATATCCGTTTTCCAACAGTTATTGAAGCGAGCAAGCAGCAGGACTGTCAGACCGTTCGTATCAGTGGTTCTCCACCAATCGTTGCGGCTTGCCCGCTTAGCAACCGGTGGAAAAGGGATCTGGCGGTGTGCCAAACACAGCGTTACTGACATGCCCCATATTTAGGCGCGAACAAGACAGCACGTTTTCATTCTGGTGGTGGAGGGTGCCACGCACCGGAATACATGCAAAATTAAATAGAACTTTTGAGCTCATTTCAGTAGTTGACGAGTTTTCTTTCAATCTTTGGAGCATTTTAGTATTGCCTAACATTTAGGGGCTCTGGAAAAAAATAATATAAAGATAATTCCGCTATCCCTTGTTCTACATGTTTTCATAACCTTTTATTGTTGCTGAGTTGGGTTTGGTTAAATGAGCTGATTTTTTAAAGGTCTTTCGAAGACGTTTCCACTTTTATCAAGTTCAACGGTTTCGATGTGTCACCAGTAGTCCCAAAAGATTTGGCGTGCAATGCCAGCAGAGTGGAGGTATCATTTTCCATTCTTCTTTTCGACAGAGTGGAGGTAATATTTGTTTTTTTTTTGTCGGATTAATTTAACCTGTGCAATGGATCAAATCTATGCAATTTATGGCAAGGGAAGTGTCTCAATCTGTCAGCCAGTCAGCCAGTCAGTCAGTCTGTCTGTCTGTCTGTCTGTCTGTCTGTCTGTCTGTCTGTCTGTCTGTCTGTCTATCTGTCGTCTGTCAACCGGGCAGCGATTCTCGCCTGTTTCTCTACCTGCCTGCCTATCTGTCTAGAATGCAGGGCACATCATCGTTGTGATGGTCACAATCCGGAGGGTCGTATTTGATCACGAGGGAGGGGAGGGGTCGTATTTGCTCTGAGAAAAAATTTTTTTCGACGGCTGATTTCTCTTGTTTCACGGATGCTATAAGGGGGGGGGGTCGTATTTAGTCGTTGTTGGGAGCGGGATGTCAAAGATGCATACAACTACTATTTCCGATAGCTGGAAATGATAAATAACTCCTGACAACCTACTCACTCCTTTCCCCCCCCCCCCGCTCGGAGGAAAGTTCTAGGCTGAGCTGGAAAACTGGAAACTTTTCACGAAAAAAATGGAAAAAAGTGGTAGGAAGTTGGGAAAATCTAGGAAAGTGGTAGGTAGCATAGGGAGGGGGGTCGTATTTGAGGATGGAAGTAGGGGGGTGGTCGTATTTTCCAGGAAATGATCACAACGCGATGGCGTGCCCTGCTAGGATGGTAATAGCCATCTTATATCTTTCCCTTGTTTGGTTAGATACCATGGAAATATGCCGTGAGATTTCTTCAAAAACATTTGTGCGACTTTGGGTTTGCCTTTGTACAACATGAAACCTCTGAATCTCTTTGCTGTCGTTGCCCGGTAGCTTAAAGACACATGGTACGATCACACATAGTCTGGGTGTGTGTGACTAACAGCCCCCACCCCTGTCGAAGCGTAGCGGTTTTCCCGCGCAAACTGCACGGGTTCAGAGTCCAGGGCCGTGGGAAAGTCTGATTCGTCCATGCTCCGCCCAAAATGCAACCTGCGGCGGAGACCCGCTTTATGTCAACAGCCATCCGCGCGGCGCGTCTCGCGCGCGGCTCTCTTGGCACTTTGCCAAGTCCTGAAATTGCGCTTTGGAATGGAAGTAAAACGCAATTTCCTGATGCGTATAACATTTGAGGGCTGCAAAATAAGAACAGAAGATGATGACGAAGGCCAGAACTCAGGAGCTTTTGCAGCATCCCTCGGAGGCCGCGCATTCCCACAAAACATGAAAATAAAAACGGTCTAAGCGTCTCACTCGTCAGTTTAAAGTGTTTTTATGGCTTTGGAGCCGGAATCGCGACGAATTGCAGGAATCTGCACGCGATTTCAATTGATTTGCATTTCCTTAATTTTTCATTTACGTCTACATTCGTTGTTCTTAATTTCTAGCCTTTGTCATCTTCATCACCTTCTATTCGGACTTTGAAGCACGAAAAACACCGCAAATGTTATCCGCATCAAGAAATTGCGTTTTACTTGTATTCCGAAGCGCAATTACAGGACTCGGCAAAGTGCCAAGAGTGCCGCACGCGACACGCGCGCACACGACGAATGTTAGTGAGCGGGAGTCTGCGCCGCAAAAAAGCAGTGGGCGGAGCATGAAGGACTCAGCGTGTTTCACGGTCCTGTAACTCCATTCCTGCGCATGTTGGGACGGGGAGACGGCCACGCTTCGACAGTTGTGGGGGTGAGGGGAGGGGGGGGGGTCGTAGTCACGCGCACCCAAACCTAAAGACACATGGTACGATTACAATGTGATCGTACCATGTGTCTTTGGGTGATCCTTGCTCGCTCACCATTACTTAGTTACACGCCTGAATTCTACACTTCAAATTTTTTGTTTCAGTTGAGACAAGCTCTCACATGTATTCAAGGAGCGGTGCAGCAGGTTAACAAGTCCAGTCCATTAGCATGCTTACTCATGCCGATACTCCCATCGTTCTTCAAAATGAGCAGGTACAGGTTTTCACAGCATTCAAGTTGTTTCTTGCATTTGGCGGGTGCTTGCTCTAGAGCGTAAAATTGTAACAAACTACAAACATGGGACATTCCTGCAGTCGGGGACCGCAAGTTGTCCATCATGAGACTTTTTGCATGTTCTGCGCATTTCCATTCAATTTTTGTTCACCGCAACCCTGACACGGTGACCGCATATTTTTTCCTCTTTGTTCAAATGAGACTTAAAGGCAAGTGGCACGATAAATTCCCAAGATGTGTAGGATTGATACGCCCAGCAGAACAGACTTTAGCGCTCCCGAGCAGGCGCTGTGTAACGCCTTTTCCAAGGGAGGTACCCTTCTAGCGCTCTATCAAGCTGCTACGTACTGAGCGGGACGCCCATCACGGCCGCCCGCACACAAATGTCCGACCGATGCTGATGCTCGTATCCTTTATTTGCGAAGTACAACATAAAGCTAAAGGATTGATATGAAGCATCTGTGATGCTCCATGGAGTTAGGAGTACATACATGCATTCATATCTACCGAAGCGGTTATTGGCACGATGCCAACGGGAAAATTGTCCGAAACTGCTTTCTGTACAGTGTAAAATGAAAGTATTTTGTAGGTTTTGACCTTTCACTTCGCTTTTTTCGCCATTTTTCCAAGAAACTCGTCCGGAATAGCTTCCTAGTTCAAGTAGAACGGAGAGTTTTTCAGCTTTTTGACCGTTCCAAGTTGCTTTTTCGTTATTTTGCCACTACATAGCACCCCTGCTAGCATTTTAGACTGAGTAACGAATTATCGTGCCTTATGACTTTAAGTTCATGTGTTCAGATTAGATTCATACTGCTCAGTGGTTCAGATGCGTGCTCGATCTGCACACGCCGGAAGCCAGACAGTTGCTTCATCCGTTGTCGCGTGACAACATCACCAAAATCGCTGATTTTGAGAGACAGCAGATTTACTGTACGTTTTTTTCGAGTTTCGGAACGAATAGAACGAATCTGAATACGTCCATTAATAGAACGACCAAGCGACTTCAAGTTCATCTGGCTAACGCGCTGATCAGTAGGGCGTTTTCCTTCTTTATTATGATATTTTATTTTGTTGGTAGCTTAGTTCATCCATTCAGGCCCTCTATGCCGTCCTTCCTCGACCTTTTTGAATTCAAATTCTAGGACGTTAAGTTTGAGCAAAATTCCGATATTCCAATTCAGGTTCTGTTGGGGAAAATATTGAAGTTATCACGGGACGTGCCATCACAGTGGACAGAGATCCTATCGATATCGAACGCCAATATGTGCACGATTTGAATGAGCAAATGTGAGTTGATTCAGCTGTATCACGATTCGGGTTATGCTGATACAGTCGGCCACCGTATTTTTTTTGTGTTTTTTTAAACGATTTCCAAATGCAATTCTAATGTGCACTGCTGCACAAGATTATAACTTCAAATTGTCAAGCTGCGTACAATAACCCCAAAAATTGCGCGTGAAGTTAAAAATGTCGCGTAGTGAACGTACACAATCGGGCGTGCGTAGGAAGCTCCGGAGTATGATTGTCAAATCGGACAGCGATCCGCCATACGGCAGGTACTTCCCCGCGCGGTTGTGTTACAGCACTTCACGCAAAGAATCTGGATGGGCCGCGTAGTCCCGCAGCCCGTTGTGTGCATCCGCGACCAACTCAATTAATCTCACGCGCAATTTTCGGATGTACTGTACGCAAACTGATAACCTGCACTTATAATTCAGTCACCGCTGACAACTTGATTCTTGTACGCTGTCGGATTGGTGCATGGGTCTCTGACAGTTTTGCTTGAGTTTTTTTTTCAAAGTTTCGGTATGGTCTAGTACATTTCGATCAACATATGTTCACTTCATATCCCAGGAATGGAGAGGGCGTGGCTACGTAAGGGCATAGGTTGCGTTTTCAGTGGGATTTTTTCATTTTGAGACAATTATTATCGCGCCATTGCCCAGCGCATGAAGATAAAAGTTGTCTCAAATGGAAATATCTCATAGGACGCGTCCGGCGCTATGTTCAAATAAAGTACGCAGCCACGCCCTCTCCATCTCCCATATACATATGATGCGTAAACAGTAGCGTATTCAGCAAAACGGCTTCTCGCGCATATTTTTTTTCTCACCCAACTAGTACCTCTCAAATTTGGTATGTCATTTAGTTTATAATTTTGCCAATCACTTTTTCCAGCTTGACAATTATATCGATATGTGTGAGCAAATTCCCTGATAAGGTTTTCTCTTTGAACGATCTCCCGCTGTTATTGCTTGACATGGTTGCAAGTCTCGAATCAACACCGGAATTCAGATTACGCTGTTGGATTAAGAAAGTTTGGTTGGTTACTTTCTGTGTACTTACTTTTTTAGGCAGGGGTAGTGGTATTGAGAAACGGTTGTATCGCTGCCAGGGCACACTACTGCGTTGGGGATTTTTGGTTAAGTTCGACCTTTGAAAGGAGAGCTCGAAAGCACTGTGAGCCTCCGATTTTGGGAATACTTTTGAACAAAGTGTGGCCACAGAATTCTTAATTAATTGGAAAGAAGAAGAAACTTTCTCCCACTTTGAACTTTAGACCTTCATTTTCGAAATTCTCCCAGTCAGAGTGCCCATAGAAACGGAGGCGTTTTTAAGTTGTTTTATAAAGATTGTAAAGATTAACTCAAGTTGTTTCTGAGCGAATGCGGTCTATAACCGAACTAAATAAACCTGATGGGAGATCATGGATTCTTTCCACTAACTCGGGAAAAAACCCCATTCAGGGATATCCCTATACTTTTGAAGCGCCCTGTGTTTTCGACATGAATGATCTAGTGCGAACCACCGAACCTTTCAACTTGGTGGACCTCCTTATCACCATTTTTTTGTGCTTTAGCAAGTTTGTTTTAAATACAGTCTAGTTCGCTGTGGGTGATGAGGCGTATCTAGGAGAAGCGGGCTCCCGCCCTAGCCGGTTTTTTTTTCTTCGGCAAACGACACGACAATTATGTTTGTAGCAATTGTCTTCCACCAGTTGTTGCCGCTTACCCGCATCAAGAGGAGAACGGGCTGGCGGGGCGCCAAACTCGGCCTCACTGACACGCCCCTGCATTCGCAGCGAGTAAGAATGTACCACTCTTTATTCCTATCTCACTTATGGTTTACTTGCTTTCAAGGAAGTCTATAATATGCGATTGTCCAAGGGATAAATACGGTCTGATAAAGGAGTTTTTCGAGCGAATTGTTGGAGTTATGCACTTACGACTGCAAAACATATGGGCAGAGGTTTCCCATATTGATTATGGTGGGTCTTCACAAAGCTTACAGATTGTCAGTTATGGACCTGTAAAGGTAGCTAATTTAGATTCCGAGCCAACCGAGGAACAGTTATTTTTCGAACATATGACTTGTGTTTTATCTCGCGAATATATCTCATTTCTTCGGTCCTGTTATCTTCATAGCGATGGTATGATAGCTTCATCCGATATTTTCAATCACCTCAAGTAGTAATTGTGTAAATTCGGAAATTCCATTCAGGTGATGACAAGAAGGCAGTGACAATGTCAGTACTAGGAGATTGGTTGTTCGATAACAGGATCGGTCTATCGTCTGTGATTATGACAGTATTCTCATCGTTGACATTCCGTGATTCCACACTCGTTCTCAGAGCTGCTGGTTTCTGCAAAATTTTGGTGGAAAAGGTATATACACGTAGCATAGTTCGCTGCGGACGGAGGGGCGTATCAGGAGGGATGTTTGGCGCTGTGCCAAACACATTTTCCACCAGTTGTTGAAGTGAGCAAGTGAAAAGACAGTTCATGTCATTCGTAACACTCGTTTTCTACTAATCGTTGTGGCGCATTCATGTCACCAAATGGCAGATAACGCATTTGGTGCCGTAGCCTACTCCTACTGCCTGACACGCCTCCTCAACCCTAGCGAACTAAAGTTTATCATTAGCGGCTGTCAATAAACTGATGCTGGGATTTTGATTACTCTGTTGACTTGAACTTGTTCTCAGCTGGCCAACTGCTACGACGACGAAGTAGGAGTATACATGTTGGTTTGTTCCATACGGTCACTTCAGTTACATGGTGCTGACGAAGTTACTGGAACTCCAATAATGGGACTCGTCTTTCACATCTACTCCGTTTTGGTTCGTGAACATCTGCTTCTGTCGTTTCGAAAACAGACCTGGTGATGGAATATTAAGGATAGTGGCGCTCAATAACTAACCTATAACCGCTAAGTCACTTTTGAAGGATAAAAAGCAAGAAAAATATCGAAAACATCTTAACTAAGGACCTGGCGACCTATTTGGACGAGTTCTCCGGACCTGCTCGCTTTATGCCAGCAAAGCGATATCCTGCCACCACTGGCTCACTAATCGTTTCTTAGCGTCATCTATACCTAAATTTTGTTCAGCAGTGAAAAAACAGCGAAGAACGTGTTTCAGAAAGGATTCTCGTGACATAAAATAGCCTACGAATGCGTCTAGTGCAAAATTGGGTTTCAGCAAACGCTATCCGACGAACCATTGCACCAGTGCAATAGCGCCTTTAGTAAATTAATAACTAATTAAAACAAAGTAGTGAAGGAGCAGAACCACTTATGAGCACGAGCGCGGTCAGTAAAAATGGACACGCAACGAGGACTGACGCCCGATGCTCCGCCACAACAACTAAGCGGGGTACAATTGTAGGTAGGCAGTCCTACTGAGCGGGTGTCAGAACTAGAACTCTCGGCGGCTGTAGCATCCTCCTCACTCACTGTGGAATCGCCAAGAATGAGGCAGTCTCTCAGTGTGCGGGCTGAACAACTTGAAGAGAGAGGACGGCCACGAATTTCCTGGACGCCGGGTCTGTCTTGAAGGCAGTTGGCACGATAGATCGCAATACAGATGTAGGATTTATACGATTGGCTTAACAGAATTCCTTGACCTCGTACAGGTGCTCCGTGTTTCCGAGGAGGGTACCCCTATAACGCTCTATCGAGCAACAACATTCTGTCCCGAACGCCTTCCTCGCCCGCCCGCCCACGAAAATAACGTACAGTCGTGCATCCTTGCACTTGATAGTCGACAATGTCAGTGCGGCTGCCGTCGGCGCGGTCGTCAGCACCCGTACTGCACCAATCGTTAACCAGAAGAGTGACATTACTGTATTATATTCCTTCGTGTTACTCGTTTTCTATCATTTTTGTTCGCATACGCGTTTCAACGAAAAGGCTGAGAAGGCTTCAAACAGTGTGCACGCTCCTTCCCGCCCGATCACGCCCCTATCAGGTGCAAGGATGACGACTGTACAACCGTTCCTGACGCTCGTATTCATTCACTCGCTAAGCAAATTATGAAGCGAAGGGTCGGTATGAAGCGGCCGTGATGCCGCATGCATATATGGTGGGTACACATATGCAGCCGTATCTTCCGTAGCGGTGACTGGCAAGGTGCGTGCGGGAAACTCGTCCGAGATCGATTTTTAAGTCACTGAGAGCAGAGGCTTTCTCTTCGCCGGATTTTGACCGTTTCACTCCGTTCTTTCGCCATTTCCCCACTAAATAGCGCCCAACTAGCATTCTGGGCCAAGTGGGAAACAATCGTGCCAACTGCCTTTGAATCGCTAAAAGCGTAACTGGGTTTGTATCATAGGTAGTGTGAAACCTGTCGCTCTGTCGGCGAAGACAGTTGCTAGGGCATCTATGATAGGGCATCTATGACCTAGGTCCTTCCATAATCTCATGATAAATGGACTTGACGATGAATCCAAGCTCTATTTGAATGCGTTTTTCATCCAGCGAGAGGAGGGCATCGCATAGACGGTATTCCCTGAGTGAGAGCATAGGAGCTAGTATGCTCAACGAAACTTCGAGTGAGGTGCTCTTAAACGTGACTGGCTAATTACAAAGGTACATTTTAGCTAGGCGGGTTTGTCAGCGAAGGGCCTCAAAAGGTTCAAAAAGTTACAATATTACCCCGTTCATTTCTATGAATTTTTACAGCGTCGCTTTTCGGATTCTCTGCCTCAAGTCCTTATGCAAGTTCCGAATGTCACTACAGATATTGTGGAGAGTCTTTGATAGCAAAGTAAGTTTTCACCTTGAATTTTGAAATACTAGGACATTCCCTATGCGGCAGCATAATGGGTCCTTTGCCAAGTCTATGCTCGTACCATGCTTAACCATCGTTTCGGGTTTCTGGGCACTTATCCGATGCGGTGTAATGTCGAGTGATTGCTTACGCAATTTAAGTAGATACGGGAGATAAACGCAGTGGGCAGGATTGATGGGGGTGGGCAGTAGCGTTAGGCTTCGTTCATACTTTGCGGCAGCGTCCACCAGCGACCTTCGGTGTTTCGAGCGTCCGTCAGCGTCAGCTACCCAAAAGTACAGATACCGACCTACCGAACGGCAGCGTCTACCAGCGTCTCCCAGCGTCCATTAGCGACCATCAGCGTCTTGAGGGACTAAAATTTTTGATATCGATCTAGTCGACCAGCGCCCAGGAGTTCGGTATTGTGATTGGTTGCACACGCCACCATTTTACGACGCCTTATCCAGCTGTCTCGTCCGTCGTACATGTCAATACTCTACTAGCAGTCACTCTGCTAGCAGTCTTCTACCCTCCTACTTCCCCATACTGCTGGTCGCTGATGGGCGCTGGTAGATGCTAGATCGATGTTCATAGTTTCTTAGTCCCTCGAGACTCTGATGTTCGCTAGTGGACGGTGGTTGACGCTTGTAGACGCTGCCGTTCGCTAGGTCGATATTTATACTTTCCTTGTCGCTAACGCTGACGGACGCTCGAAACGCTGATGGTCGCTGCTGGACGCTGTTTGCGAGGTATGAACGCAGTCTCACAGGTGAAAGGGCTGCGAGAGGGCGTTTGATCATAACCCACCTCAACCCTCCCACCAATAACACTAGCAGCAACTGCCCGCCTCCTGCGATGTGCCCAGTGTGCTAAAGAAATTCTAAACGGTCGAAGAATTGTTCTCGTGAACATTACCATCACACAACCAGGTGGCAGAAGTTCATTACCGTAAAAAAAGTCTTGGCTATCTTTCATGAACTCGCAGAAGCAAGATTCTTTTTCCTAAAAGGATAATCTTAAGGTGCGAGCCATGATATCGGGTGACGAAGTAATTCTGGAGAAACAAAAGAAAGAAATGATGCGCAAACTTTTCAACGGCATAATTACGGTAGGTTCCTAAGATTTCGTACTGAGATCTGAACTGCGGACAGGTTTGATAAGCAGTGTCATATGTTCGCCGGTGCCCTATTTGAAACCTCACCTTTCCAAAATGATGAAATCATCTATAACTCTTCTAAAAACGGAGCTCCTGAGATGTTTTCAAAGAAGTCCCCAAATAGAAAATGCGTTGAATACAAATATGAATCCATGTGTTGATACAAAACTGGATCGAATAGAAAAGATTTCTGTTATCATTTTCTGACAGTCAGTCTGCCGATGTCGCAAAACGATAAGGCCACTGCATGTTTCTCTCTTGTTTTTCATTATTTGATCAAATCCTCTCATCGTTACAGTTCCTTCGTTTTCAGGTAATCCCCAAAAAATCACTGTCAGACTTTGTAAAGCAGCAGACAGTAGCAAAAAAGGAGCAGGAAAAGTCGAACTGTTGAGTAGCGCGAGCTCCGAGTCAGAACGAGGCTCAGGAACTCGACAAGGGTTTCCTGGACGGCATTCGGCCTTTAATTTCGTGCCGGTCATCCACGCTTCAATTTTCCTGCTATTTTTCGAAACAGGACAACGGTTCTTTACCACGACCTGAAAACAAAGGAACCATAACTATGGAAGAGTTCAATCAAGCAAAAATGAAAAACAGTGGATGAACATAGGGTGGCCTCGTCATTTTGCAAATTTGGCAGAGCGATTGCTTTTCAGTAATGGTGACAAGTTCTTGTCTTTTCGGGTTAAAGCTTTAGATGGCATGCGGATTTATGATTTTATTCAAAGACAAACCTCGTGATTGCAGATTGTAGGCAATGTCGTTCATTTACGAACCTATAGTCGCTCAGCTATCCTCCAGGGTAGAAAAAAGCAAAATGTTATGGCGAACACCCTAAGTAAGAACCCCTGGCAGCTTCATTGTACGAGCTCTCCCAGACTGCTCGCTCTACGCCAGGGAAGCAGTATCCTGCCGCCTCTGGCCTGTTATCGTTTCTCCGTATTATAAATTGCTTACACAATCTAACAGCAAAAAAAAAGCGAAAAAAACAGTGTAAAAATTAAACCTGTGAGAAAAAAATACCCTTTGAGTTTTGGTGGGCGGGACAACTAGGGAGGCATCAGAACTACCACTCATCAAGGCCGCAGCGCCTTCTTTACACTGTGCGTATCATTACTTGGGACATTTGGTCAAGTCCGTAGCCCCCCCCCCTCAAGGGGTATTTTGATGGCTTGACACGCCCCCCCTAGTCACCTCCACTGGTACGATCGAGCTGTCGAGCGGGGAAGGGGTCCCCACCACTTTCCTGGATTTTCCCAACATCCTACCACTTTTTTTTCGGAATTTTTTGAAAATTTCCCAGGATTTCTCTAGAATTTTGCTGTCGAGCGTGTGGGGGGGGGGGAACATAGCACATGTCAAACCGTAAAAACCACGAGAAGTCAACAACCGGAAAAAAACTATTCCCAACGTCGCGAAAAGGTGTATACGACCCACCTCTCCGACGAGCAAATGCGACTCCGACCCCCCTTCCCTTATAGCGCCCGTGAACTAAGAAAAATCAACTATCAAAAAATTTTTCTCAAACGAAGGAGGACCCCCCCCCCTTAGCGACCAAATACGACCTCCCTGTTGGGGAATCCCCAACGATGATGTACCTTGTGAAGACTTTACTTACTGTAATGTCGCGAAAGTTGGATAACCTTAGAGAATGAGGGCCACACGACTTGTACAAGAAAGGACGCCTATAAATCGGTTGAGCACGGTGACTGTCCTTAATGCTTTTTCTCTTCTGGGACCTCCTCGGAAACATCTCGGGGGAATGAGTTTTCAGAAGATTTATAGGTAGCGTTATCATTTTGCGATGCCCTGTATCTTCCTATTCTAAATGTATTCAGCTTGCTCTTGGTGAACAACACAAGAAACCGGTGTACTTTCGTCCTCTTCCACCTATAGAGAAGCGTCGCCGTGTTGTAAATGAGCATGATAACTTTGAGGACATTGCACTCCTGTTCGCCTGCGAGGAAGTGTAATCCTGAAATATCTCCGTTGGTTATGTTTTATCGCTGTTTTAACACCAGATGTTTTTAGATATAGTTTTGATACATTTAGGTCTAGCTCCTTTATCACCTTCATTCCTCAAGTTTTTTGAGCGATCCCCTCGTCTGTTATTGTTTGATGACTGATAATTTTAATTGTACGAAAGTATTCCAGAAATTTTTTTTCCTTACAGTACAAAGAAATCATTTGTCCTACTTTGCCACTCAGCGGGACTTTAGTTACCAATTGTGGAGCTCCAACTTATAAGAGTTGAGGTTCTGCACTTTTCTGAGTGCTCTATAGTCTTTCAAACACCATGTAAAGACATACATTATTGGAGAAATCAAGCAAATGGTAGTAATACCGGGTCTATTCATGCTTTTTGGGTAACCTTGAGCGGGACAGTACAAAAATGGGATATTGAATCCATCAGCTGTACTAGTTGATGCTACGGTGTGTGAGGTTCTTGTCCCACTACGGCAAGTCCGCGGTACTGAGAAAGGATAAAGTCCCCGCCGCTGACCAATCTTTCCTTTTGGGATGCGATGCGTATTCTACAGTCATCATCCGGGCACTTGATTAGAGCGGCAAGGGTCGCGACGCGGCTGCGGCGTGTCAAGAGCGCGGTGATCAGCTGTTTCCAGCCTATTTTAGCCATTTTCTCCCTAATTTACACTATTATGGCTGCTTTTCTCGGGATTAGTTGTTCATTGTCTTTACAAGGTAAATTTTGATTGAGACTCCTCTGTTTACTGCGCACAATTTAACAGTTAGGCATAGAACAAACACCAGAAAAAAAATCGCAAAAACACTTCACTACAGAAACAAAAAACGACTCCATACCCTCATGTACTTTATAAAGACGATAAAACAACTAGCCTCAGAAAATACAAAATACAGTGGAAATTAGGGAGAAACTGGCCAAATTAGGCTGGCAACAGCTGATCGCCGCGGTCGTGATGCGCTGCAGCCGCGTCGCGACCCTTGCCGCCCTAGTCAAGTGCCCGGATGACGACTGTACTTCCCTTCGGAATCGTAGTGCCTATGACTGCGATGTGGACGATACAATTACTACAGGGGCTTGTCGATATACACGTCAGTGTTCCTACCCTCGTCCCCGAAGGGTAGAAGGCTTGGTTGTTCGGGCGAGAGGCTATCTGAAGCTTAACCCCCTGATCGGAACCTAAAGGAGTAATAGTGCAGTCGCAATGCATGTATCTTGTGCTGCGCAAATTTTTTTTCAACTTGAAATCGAGCCCTGGACTTCTTGACTGTTTTATTTTGGGTGGTATTTTTTATGATGTATGTTTTATGCTTTACCAGTCTGTTTTATTAACACATAAGCCGTCAATCTCCCGGCTAAATCTTTGATCTGATGCGATGTTTTACTTTTGCTTTAGAATATCATACTTGTTGAGAGCTCACTATTTGTTGTTGTTAACGGTTGTCTTCTAAACCTTCGACTTCTTCATGCAAATATACCGACCCTGACCTTATAACAAATCGCTTTTTGAAACGTTGTGTTTATTTTCAAGTGCCATTTCTCGCTGCAATGCGCGGTCCGAGAGGTATTACCCGAATGCTGATTTATGGGCAAAAATTGATCGTAGGGGGTAAGTGACAGAACAGGCGTAATATGCCGCGCTGGACGTGGAGTGCGACGCCGCGCACGCGTGAGACGAGTTGTCCTGCCCGCCCGTCCGGATATGATTGAAAGGGGAACCGGCTCGATCGATATCACGCGGCATGAAGTCTCTTCCCTTTGGTAATTCATACGAGTTCTGCTGCTTCAATCGACAAGTAATGACATCAAGAATCCGCCGCGTGCGATGGCGTGGCAAATTGCGATTTTCTTGTCCATCTCCCCACTGTAGGCACTGCTGGAATCTGCACTTCGCGCCTTCCGGACTAATGTGCTGGTCATGACACCACGGCCTGACCACCATCTGTTGTCTTAGACTAATGCTTTTTCATGCGTTAGTTTGCTTGAAGGCCAATAAGGCTGCGTCCATACTTTGCGGCAGCGTCTACCAGCGTCCACTAGCGTTACAAGCGTCCGGCAGCGTCAGCGACCAGGAAAGTATGGATCTTGACCTACCGTGTGCCAGTGTGTGCCAGCATCCTGAGGGCTAGGGAAGCATAGTATCGATCTACCGTCTGCCAGCGTTCACCAGCAACCGGGAGTGGAGAATGTGGGGTACGAGGGTGCAAATAGCCGGATTAGTCGTCGTGAAAGTGCGACGTGTGCAATTGCGTCGCACAACTGCTATAGCACAGAAGATTCAGTTTAATGTACGGTGAAATGTGTGGGCGGTGCGGTTGCACACGCCGCAATTTCACGACGCTTAATCCAGCTGTTTGTTACCTTCGTACTTCCCCATACTCTCTACTGTTACTCGCTGGTGAAAGATGGTAGACGCGAGGTTGATACCTATGCTTCTTAAGACCTCGGGATGCTGGAATACGCCGCACGCTCAATAGCTTTGCTTTCCTGGTCGCTTACGCCAGTGGGCGCTGCCGCAAAGTATGAACGCAGCCTAAGCAGAGAACGAAAGCGGCTTTGGTGGTAGTACTATGGTTAGCTCATTAGCTCAGAAAACGTGATGTGTAACTGCCTAGGGCTGAGTCTTTTGCCTTATGACTCAGCATTCTTGTGGTACCAGTCCCTGTTAAATGAGTCTTCGCTTTGAAATTCACTGCAAAACTCTCTTGATTTTTTTACCAGACGTGATAAAGGGATGGCAACTCTCGCCTGAATTACGGTGCATTGATTCTATGGTGTAATACTAGTTTGACTGCTTTGTTTGTTTTAACGTACTTGTAAGGTTTTACTTGCATTTTTCGTATTTGTATCAAAAAAACTTTGGTCTTGCTGGAGCCTCTTTATAGCAACGATTATTACCATTCCTCTCCTGGGTGCTCACTTGTAACTGTCCGTTGCTTTAACTGCTTATAAGCCATGTAGTTACGAATGTTTTAAAAGGTTTTAATGGTAACTCGGTGAAATTCATGTTTACCATGTAGTTATGAATGTTTTAAAAGGTTTTAATGAAGTAATTAGGTGAACTTTTTGTTTGTCGATTGTACCATACATATCTCTGGGCTCCTTACCTCTGGGACAGAGAGGGCGTGTCATTTGAACTTGGCATAGAATGGTTCAGTAGTGGAATATTTCAATGTGATACAATTGTCGTCTTGATCGCTGTTGGACGCAGACTTGACCATAATCGTGGCAACATGAAAATAACCCACCGAAAGCACATCCACCAGTACATTTAGTCGAAGTACGCAGCCACGCCTACTACATCTGAGGGTTTTCGGTTTTTTTAATATTTTCAAATAATAACTGATAGAGATGCAACTAAAGCAAGCAGAAAAACTGGTAATAGCGTTATTCCTGTAATAGCGGATGAGTGCTGGATAACGTCGGAGTTCACGCTTGAAGGTCGTAAGGTGCGCAGAGTTATGGGTAAAAGAGTTGGCGCCAGGCACTTTAGGGCTTACCCCTCTGCAGCACTCACACGTCACATCACGTTAAATTTTGTTGCAGCTGTGACGGAGCAATGGCAGCTCTTATGATTCGTGCACTCAGGGCACGCCATCACTTTGCAATCATTTTCTGAAAAATACGACCCCCCCCCTCCTAAACTCCATTCTCCATTTACTACCTACCACTTTCCTAGACTTTCCCGACTTCCTACCACTTTTTCCATTTTTTCCGAAACATTTCCAGTCTTTCAGCCGAGAATTTTCCCTCGAGCCGGGGGGCGGGGTATGCACCCAATGTGGAATTTCTCAGATTTTCCCTAACCTCCTACCAGTTTCTCCGAAATCTCCGAAAAATTTCTGGTTTTCTTCCCAAACTTGCGGTCGAGCGGGGAGGGGGGGGGGAAGCGTCAGGATTTAACTATCATTTTCAGCTGTCGGAAGTAGTAGGTTTATAGATCTTTGGCAATCCCTCTCCCAACAACGACCAAATAAGACCCTCCCTCCCTCGCGGTCCAGTACGACCCCTCGTTGTGATCATCAGTCACAACGATGGCGGGCTCTGCGTGCACTAGCCCGGTAGGCGTGAGGTGAAGGTTTTGGTCCCACCTCAGGTCAGGTCTTTTTTTCGCCCGTAACTCAGCATTCTTGTGATGAAGTCACCTTTCATCAACGCAACAACATGGTGAAATCTAACGCAGACCAGTCGTACTATGACATGTCGCCCTCAGCAAGCAATCCCGATCAGGGTACAGCGTCGTGATGTGTGAAATGGGGTGTAGGTACGACCCCCCCCGCTCCACATCCCACAGATGGTGTTAAAACGACCCCCCCCCCACCTAAGTGAGAGTCTTGGTACGACCCGTTCCCCAGCTTCCTCAGCATCTTACATATTAATTCCCCAGTTTTTCCGTTTTTCACCAAAAAAATTTTTCCGTCAAACAGGGAAGGGAGGTTAGAGTATATAGTACACATAAAAGGAGAAAAATCGGACGAAAAATCAGCAAACCGGGAACAACGCATCAACTTTCTCTCAAACGCACACACGACTCTTCCTCTCCAACGACCAAATACGACCCCCATCTTCAGCGGAAAGTACGACCCCCTATGTGTTACAGACAACAATGCTGTACCCTGATCCCGATTAGTTGCAGCGGGCAGTGGTTGCTCGTGGTGCTCGTGGCACGCTGCCAGGTCTAGTATGGCTTATGATGCATTCAGTCGGGGCGGCATTAGGAGGGGAGTGAGCTCGCCTCCGTCTGCCAAAGGTGATCGGCTAGTGAGCGATTCAAAGGAGAAAAAACGTCGCGTGTGGGCTCATTCCAGCCTTCTTGACCCTGCCACTCTTCTACCGCCTGTCCCGTCTCTCGAGATGTCGCTACGATATCAATTGTACTACGAAAGCCGGACGCGTTCAATTTTAGGGTATTATAGCACGAAAAAGAGCGAAGCGTTCTATTTCTGCTTTCAACTTCGCGTTGCTTACATACGTTGTGGTTGATGCCTG